GACCACAATCTAAGTTGTCTTCTTCCTAACAGAAAACAAGCTCCATACAATTTTTAGAAATCCTGAAAAAAAAAATCTTCAAAAGAATTTGTCTGTTTGTCGATCACATATCAATCAAGATCCCTTATTTCCTTTATTGACGTCTCAAAATTAAAATTAGCATTCAATACATTAATAAGATTAGCAAAATTAACATTAATCACTGTTATCAATATTGTTGTTATTCACTTTTGACGTCTTTTAATTTTCTTCCTGCAAATTCAAACAGAACAGTTTGAAAAAAGTTTTTTTTTCCATTCAAATTCAATTGATCAATAATTGACTTTGAAAATAAAATAAATTTCAGTGATGAGTTACTGTTTTTTTTTTTCAGATCTAAAAAACTACAAATAAGTGCAGAATTGAAAAATTATTGCTCGGAAGTGTGCTATGTTTGGAGACTTTTAACTTTAACGCAGAAAAAGTTACAGGTCTTTCATGCTATATTTCATAACCATAAATTATTAAAATGCTAAATAGAATATTTTCTCTTTCGATCTAAAAAATTACAAAATAATTAAGAAGTATGAAAAATATGTTTTATAAAAATTCTGCGTCAAAGGGTTTAACTGCTTCCTGCTAACCTCATATCTTTTCAGGGTCTTAACTACTGTCATAGCTGCACTTTATTGAATTTGTCTGTATTATTCTGCTTATTATTATTATTTTTTTTTGAGCTGTGATAGCTCAGGGGATAGAGCGTTTGCCTTCCAATGAGATGAACCAGTTTTGGATGGTCGATATGAATTCCGCATCTGGCTTGCACCGATCACAGTGCTAGCATAAAATATCCTCAGTGTAGTCGGATCGTGGGTTAGAGTCCCCTTGCCGTCAAGCTAGCCATGGGGAAGTTATCGTGGTTTTCCTCTTCATGTAACGCAAATGCGGGTTAGTTCCTTCAAAAAAAGTCCTCCACGAAGGTAAATTTCTCCCAATACTTGACCCAGGAGTTCCCTTGTCTTCTGGATTGGGTTCAAAATAACAACGCTACAGAGTTTAACATTTGGTAGTCGTATAACCGAAAAATTGGATCGGCTGTTTAGTTATGGTTATAAAATAAAATATATTCTTATTTTAATAAATAACTTTAATTGTTTTCAAAGTTCTTTTTAAGGATCTGGGGAATTAATAGAAAAAAATTATAACAATTGCAGTTCCACATAAAAGTTTTCCTATCTGTATGATTCCGTTTATTGTTCAAAAGTTCTGTCTATATCATCCCATTTTCTCAATCTAATTTTCTTGTGAAAAAATTATTATTTTTCTTTTTAACAATAACCACGTAGCTTCATTTGCTTTTAAATTTTAAACAATTTTAAATCAATCATTTCCCTTTTTTTTTCAAAATAATTCTAATAATATTCTAATAATTTACAAAATGAATAAAAAAGGACTTTTTACGAAAATTGAAAAAAAGCTTAGATTTAATTTAGATTTTTGCAGTGGAATATAAGTCTTTTTTAATTAGTCAGTCTTTTTTAATTATGAATTATTATTTTGTCAAGTCAACAAGCCTCTCTTTTGGTAGCAAATTCAAATATCAAGATTGAGAACGCTTAGATATAGACCGTTCTAATTTTTGCTGGGGATTTAAAAATTTTATCCATTGCGGACAAGAAGTAAATGCAAGAAGAATTTTTATTTCTTCATAAGTGAAACATTGAATCTGTTTTACTCAAAGTCACTAAAATTTCAATTAACCCTCATCCACTCTCTTCTCTTATAACTAAAATAGTATTGCAAAGAAATATCACAAATATGAAATTTTTTTACTTAATTCTTATCCTCTCAGTTCTACATTTATTGTTTAATACAATATAGCAAAAAAAATATTAAATCACATATACGAAAAATTTTACCTAACCCTTATCCTCTCAGATCTTCATTTATTGATCAACACAATATTGTAAAGCAATATTATAATTTAATTATATAGTGTGTATAAACACTGGATCTGGTTTACTCAAAGTAACTAAAATTCCAATTAACCCATATCCAGTTTACTCTTCTTTTATTAAAGAAATATCACAAGTATTAAAAATTTCACTTCACTCTTATCCACTCAGTTCTTCATTTATTGTTTAATACAATATTGCAAAGGAATATTGAATCACATACACATTTGTGATGCAATATTGTATCACAAATATGAAACATTTCAGTTAACCCTTATCTCCTCTTGTCTCACTTTATTGCTTCATATTACGTAATAATTATTATATCACAGATATGAAAATGAGTTAATAAGAAAGAAAACAGTAAGTTAAAATCATTGCATCATTTGTAGGAGACGCCAGTTAATCGTGGAAAAGAGATGATCAAAACTTAAATGATTTAATTCCGAAAGTCTCGCTCTCACTCTCACTTTTCTCATACATTGTTCTGACTGATTTAATCTTGATTTAACCCACTAATGCATAACACGAACAGTCAGGGGTCGCGACCCATTCCGGTGGCTAGCTAAATGAGGGTTCAATAGACAATTCACTAGACGGATGAATCGATTCACACAAAAGCATTCTCATCCTCTAAGTATGAATACGAAATTAATTTCCTAATTGTTTCCTCTTTCGAGAGCTTTTTTACCTTATCGAAGTATAACAATGGTCTTGGATTTTCGCTAATGGATATTTTTTTATTATTTCTCGTAACTAATGGAAAGAGATGTATTTTGGAAAGATGAGACGTTTCACGCAAACAATCGGTGATTTGATTTTTTTGAAATCATTGATTTTTTTTGTTTTTTGTTCATCGAATTTTCTAATAAAAGTTTATTAGAATATTGTCAGACTCTTTAATATATTTATTATAAGAAAAACACATCTTCCAATTTTAGTTTAGATTTTCATGTTCAGTTTATACATATTTAGTGTGTAAATTAAGGAGGAAAATAATTTTTATCAAAACTGAGTTAAAGGGGAAATTGATATTCCTACAACATGTATAACAAAATTGGATGGTAACAAATCGACAATCGATGAACAGGGTAACTGATTGATGGACAACCATTTGACATGTATACTAGTACACATGAATATTGATTTCTAAACTATTGATGATCTCGGATATTCATTAATGGAAAATTTATTAAGACGGATACCGTTTAGACAAGAAGCTTCAAAAACTAATGAACAATCGATGAACAGGGTTACAGATTGATGAAGAATCATGCAACATGGATACTGCTATATATGAATATTGATTCGAGAACTATTGATTATCTTGGATATTGATTAATAAAAAAAAAATTATTAACATGGATGCCACTGTTTTAAAGTAAAATATCAACAATTTTGAAATATTAACAAATGTAGTATGGAGAAGTTATTATAGCAACTTCATCTATAAAAATATTATTATTTATTTTTAATGTTGGGACCGGAATAGCCTGGTTGACAGGGCGCTGGACTCCTGAGAAAGGGAACTCAAATCCAGACGGCAGAAAACTCATCGTCTAGTAAATGGTGACTGGTGCACGTTAAGTAGATAGGATCACAAAGTCCTCCATGTCCCCATAACAAATTATACCTCTGAGGGTACTGAGTTGGAAATTGATCGTTCTCTGGTTCAGGTAAAAATTACTATCTCTGGATTAATAACGCATAAATCGGTCAGCCGTATAACAGGGCATGACATATGGGTGTGCCAGAAGACGAATTCTTGGTCACAGATAGCGGCACTGGAAAACAAGAGCAATCGCACCACCAGAACCTTAACTGTCTGCGACAACAACATCAATAAATATGCTTTACTTCTACCATCTTTTTATGGATTTAGTCGACAATAAGTTCTCCACACTACATTTGTTAATATTTTAAAATTATCATGTAAACATTCCAATTTAAGGAAAATCATTTCTTTAGGTATTAAAATTTTTCTACCGGGCATAAGCACATTTGTGTAGGTGCCCCATTAAATTAATTTAGTTCCAGTTCCATTTTAAAATTGTTCTTATTTTACTTCAAAACAGTGACGAGCAAAAATTTCAGTCTGCCTACTACCTTTGGAACTGTATACATTTTTTTAAAATCAGTCTTTTCGAGCTGCATCAATTTTCTTAACACGTTGAGCACCGCGTCAGCCATCGGTGGCTGACACTGGACTTTCCATTTAGGCCGCGTCAAAAACCGGTGGCTGACACTGAAATTACATTTAGGCTGTGTCTGCCACCGCTTGCTGACTCTGACCTTTCACATAGGCCGCGAAAAACAGCTGGCTGACAGCGTATAACATAATATAGAACTAATAAATTTCCACTCTTTTATGGAATTGCAGAAAATTTATTTTCTTATTGTGATTCATGGTTTAATAAATTCAATTTAGTAGATTTTTATCCACCACTATTTTTAAACAATTCGTAGTAATAAATAATTCACCACTCCTTTTTTTATTTATTAATGTCTTGCTAAACCTTTTTAAACTAGTAAAATCTGTCTAATATTCGCAATTTTAGTTTGTAGTTAATTACTGTTTGGCCAGACGGGCAAGCTATGTAAAATCAGCGTGGCGCTCAACGTGTTAAAAGCGCATTTCAAAATGTGTCAAATTTATTTAACAAATTTAAAAAATTAAAGCTCAACAAAAGTTTAATTTAGTATAGAAATATTTATAGTAGATCTGAGTTAATAAAAACCATTTGTTTCTTATATCTTTTTAAACCAATTTTAAGTTTTGCCATGTATTTCCTTTGTATTTTATCATGTTGAGTAAAATGAGATTAATACATATCGTAAGAGCTTTTAGTTCAAACGTTATAAAATATTTTCTCTATTAAAAACATTTACGACTCTGAGTGCTTGCGCAAATCACATTAAATTATATTTATTATTTGAAGTTTCATATAAAACAAGGTCATTTGTTGCATGTTCTTTGATATAATATTTAAGGAAATGCATCGTATTTTAATACAGTATTATAAGATATTCATTTTTTTAGTTATGGAATCTTTCGTTATCGTTTAGGTACAAAAAACAAGATGAAAATTAAAGAATATGGATTTTTTCTTTTACACCTTGGTAAGTTAATTTGTTTGTTATATATTGCATTATTAAAAATTATTATATTTCGCATTATTAAAAATTATTGCTTTTTCACACTCATGCGTTCTCAATTTTGATTGGCTTTCATATATGTTACCGAGAATGACTAAAATCGAAAGAATGTCAAATTTCATCGGTCAATGTCAACAATCACATAGTCGCTTTGGTGAATGTCCGAAATGTTTGTTATATCCGATTTGATATTGATTAATGCGTTATTATATTTATTCGATATTTTAATATCTGCTGATGATAGATAAGGAGAAAAATCAGTGTTCAGAGTATCTGTTAAATACGTACTGGGCAATGGCACTTGACCTTAAAAAAACATTGATGTAGGGCATACCGACATTTAACTAGACCTAGTATATATTTCTGTCATTTACGAAAGCGATTATGTGATTGTCAACATTCACTATATATACATACCTGCCAACTCTCCCGCATTTTGCGGGAGATTTTATTTTTATATTTAAAGTGGTAGTAAATATATACTATTTTTTCTTTTATAAAATTAATTTTTAAATGATTTTGATCACCACTATTCTTACAAAAATTAAGCATATATATTAATATGCGTTACTATCATGGTTGTCAACTTAAGTTTTTTCAAATACAACCTATTTGTTTGTTAAAATTGAAGTTTTAATTCCATTTTAATACCACTGGGAAAAATCATAATGGAAGGGATTAAAAGTTGGCAGGTCTGTATATATATATAACATTACGTCATAAAGAAAATTCTACATAACATAATTCTTGCTGTGTGACTTCATTGAATCGTCTGTATTAAATATTCATACTCGCATGAAAGTTTAAATGAAAAATGTAAATTTAAAAATGTCTACACTCAATAATATAATTCATTTATCCAAATATAATTTACGTAAAAATAAAAAAAATTTTATTAAATATTTATTATTTTATTTTATATTAGGCGAAAAATTGTTACTTGTAATGTATACAGATTTTTTACATCATTTTAAAGTACGTTAATTTTACATGACAAAATACAAAATTTGAGCGAAATAGAGTGAATAGTTCTTGAGAAGTCGAATTTTGAAAAAAAGTCCTGTATTTAAACTGTATTTAACTTTGTGACACTGTATAATTATAACCGATAGTGGTTATGAATATTTTACCCCATAGCAGTGTTTCCCAAACTTATGACTTTTGTGTATCCTTTCTAAGTTTTTCGCAACGCTGTGTACCACTAATAAAAAAATGAATGTTTTTTTTACTATAAAAACATTGCTCAAAAGTTAAAAATCACAACTGGCTGTTGACACCACTAATTATTAACTGTTAACTCTGCAAAAAAATAGCAAATAGAAATATACGTAATTGTAAATTTTAATGACTAGCTTTGTTTTTAAATAAAAGTTTTTGACATTTCCGTTTCTTGCAAAATATTTCTTATAAGAATGTGTACCCCCGGTAAACTGTTCCCGTACCCTTGGGGGTACGCGTACCACACTTTGGGAAACACTGCCCTATAGAGATAATTTGACTGTCACCACTGGTTACAGGGCGACTAAATATAACAATTGGTGATTTAAAAATTGCCAGTCTCCACTTGTTCACTACTTTTTTTTAAATCGAAAATTCACATCATGTTTAGATTATTATATTTTTTAACATTTGGAATTAAATTATTATCTTGTAATATTCTGAATATTACTTTATTTTACTTTGATTTCATAAAATTGTTCTTATTAGAAATGAACCTTGTAATTTTTACCATATTTTGAGATATCTTTAGAGCGAAATGTCTTTTATTATTAATATCAATAGTGTTTATAATTGTTCAGAACTTTCAAATTTTTTTTTAAAAGTTTGCCTAGTATTTTAAAAAGTAGCCTCTGTCAAAAAAAGTAACAACAAACCATTGGCCATAAATAAATTTTCAAATTTCACCAGACAGATACCGCTATTCTTTAACATGTTTGAAATATTAATAAAATAAAAAATTAACACGCCGAGAAAAGTAAAAATACTGGTACGAGAAAAGACAAAATACTGGTAGAAGAACTATTTCAATATTAGATAATATTCGAGAGGAGTTAATCTATTCTCAACAATAACAATTCACCGTAAGGAAATTTATCACTGCGAAGAAGCAATTCAATCTAAAAATTGCATTCGTTAAAAACAATTGGTAGTTATGGATTTTTATTATTCCCGGAAAAAAACTAAAAAATGAAATTTATTTGTTACCAGTTTTTACTCCGGTGTGCCACCCCAGAGATGCCAACTTGCTCCCGACAGCAAATATATATTTTAAAGTGGTAGTTTATCAATTGTGATTTTGGGTTTAATAAATTCAATTTAGTAGATTTTTATTCATCACTATTTCTAAATAATTCGTAGGCTTACATAATTCATCACTTTATAGCACTTATGTCATGCTATACCTTTTAAAACGCAAGCAAAAATAGTCAAATATTTGTAAAATTTACGTTGTAATTATTTACCGTTTCTTTAATCATTTTGGCGTGTCCAGAACAGTTGGCATTTCTGCCACCCGATGAGACAATCTAGCGTAACCCGCCGATGGGTCACCCCAGCGTGAACGAGTTAAGCTAGTTATAATCAAGCGTTCTCCTGGATGGAAATATTGGTATTAATCGAGTATTTAGATAATTCCCTTTTCTAAATCTATTTCTAGTTATTTTTGCAAGTGTAAAATCTTCCATAAGGGAAATGCTTGAAACGGGGGAATTGGAAACACTAGAAAAGTTTCCTTGTAAAAACTTTTCATTCTTTGGGGTGAAGAAAAATTAAAACTGAAATTTTTGGGAAGACCAATAAGAATAGTGTCGAGAATGAGAATAAATGGAAAAAGAAATAAATAAATGACAATAAAATTATGAGAATAATCCTGTAGTTGTTTCCAATGCCATTTGCCAACCAGCAAGAGTGCTTATTGAAACCAAGCGATTTAAGGCGCAGGGTTCGTTTCTCGTTTTGCAGTGCCGCCATCTATGGCCAAGAATACGACGTCAGCCACACAGACGTTACAGCCCGTTAACTGGGCGGACCCATTCATTCATCCACTAATCGTAATTTGGAATCTGAAGCAGAAACGATCAATCTCCAATTCAGTAACCCCAGATACATAATTTATTATGGGAATAATGAGAACTTTTTGATCTGACAGACTTAAGGGGGGTCAGGACCCTTTAACGCCTTAAACGATACAATGAAATACCATATTTTCGACACACTGTAACTATCTTTGAATTTATCCTAAAGCTATGAAATTTTTTTTATCATTTACTAGCACTATTATCAATATAATTAAATAGCTAAATTCAAAAAAAATCATTCATAAAAAAAATACAGACTTTTTTTAATATAGTGAAATTTTTTTATTTTCGAAAAAGTGAGTTTCATTGCGCGCAAAGCGTACGAGTCAAATATCATCAAAATAATGTCAAACTAATTTTAAATTAAAGTTATAATTACCCTAAACCTGTGTTACCTAATATTATTTTGATATACATATATTTTAATTTTCTAAAAATTAAAAAAGTTTAAGTTTTTCAAATTTCTATATTTTTGGCACATTACACAATTATTTAAAAAAATTTTAAGAGAGTAATGGTTTTTATAGTAGGTACCAGTTGTAGCAAACCATATCATAAAACTTTTCCTAAAGTTTCGTACAATTCTATCAATTAGTTCTTTGTACGCAGTGCGCACAAGTTCAACATATCACATTTTGAGAAAAATGACTTTAAAGTTAAAAATTTGTTTTTTTCGAATACCACTCAATATATTTTTCTAAAAATGCCTAAATAAATAAAATAAATCATTTTACAATACCTACATACAACTTAAACAGTAATACATTAACTAAATTTGACTTATAAACAAAATAAAGTAACATTTCACAACGACTTGTCACATAACGAGCATCGAGTCAAATAGTAATCAACTTTTCAAACATTAGAAATGATTGATACAAAAACCAAACCAACCTAAATGATAGATTTTTGAGATTTATAAAAATCTAAAAGATGATGTTTTAAAATAAATTTTCAAAAGCAAACAAAAGATTTTCAAATTAGTAACTTTTAAAAAATTGTTTATAAAAATGACCACAAAGTTAAAATTTTGATTATTATAACAATATCCATTTTTATGTTTATCTAGAAATCCTAAGTAACCTCAAAGACATAGATATAAAGGAATAAATTTCTTACATTTTATTATTTTATAATAAAATCAATATAAAAAAAAACATTTAAAAATTAAAAGCCACCAGAAATATACATATCCCCCCCTTCACTTTTTTTCATTCTCTCATTTTCACAAATCTTTTTTTGTCGTTTCACTCTACGAGCTACAATAGACTGTTCACTAGCTCGCTTTTCAGCTTTTGTTACGCGGAGTTTATCTTGAGCATGAAAGTTTTGCTTTGCTTTTTTGTTGATTTGTAGCTCCAACAGTTTCATAATAGACATCAAAGACTTTTTTCCATCGTTAAAAACACAAACACCCATACATGCAGCTATTTCGGCAACATTTTTGCCAGCACTAGCAAATTTAGGGCAAAACTTCCATATGAGTGAGTTCAACGACTCATTTGGGTTTTGGGTCTTACCCCCCAAACATCTTTTCAAAAGAGACGGATGAGACAGATCCTTAAATATTGGCTTTATTGCCTCCATAACAACTTTAGCAACCAGCATTGGGTGCTTATACTCATGCACTTTGTTGTTATGCACAGCTTTATTATAGCTGCACCAACTATTTTCGCCTTTCGGACAAAACCAGTGCATCGGCTCTTTATCCGTGCTGCAAGTATGAGCCCATATGGCCCAAATCGCTGTTCGCATGTTGACTGAGTTATTGCTGTTTTGGCGAATTGCATTGCCATAATAACTTGTAATTCTATTTATTGTTACGTCTGTCAGTCTTCCCCGACCACCTATCGTCTTACCATCTGAAAGCCTTTTTTTGCCATATGAAGTTTTGAGTTTTCGCAAACGAGTGCCCATTCTCTTCTGTATGTGTCCCACACACTCCACTTTGGTTATCGAAACATCTTTTCCATATGGCTTTGCCTCACAAATAGCCTGGAAAGTTTTACAATCACCATCGCCAATGTATGTTTCATACTTGACGTCATATTTTTCTTCAGATCTTTGGAAAATCCTCTTCATGCCGTCAACCTCCATTTTTCCAGAAGAGCCGGCATGATTTTTCTGGCACACTGTTTTATGAGAAGATAGCCACTTATGATATCTCAAGCCAAACTTTGGACCCTTGTACGAAGCACAACCTTTGCAGAATGTCGACATTACTTCTATGTCAACAGCTTTTCCTGTCTCGCCGCCTACCAGGGTACATACGCCTATTAAAGACGTATGACCTCTGGTTTTCCAGGTGCCGTCTCCACTGACGGTTAGACTGTTTGGATTATCTGATAGACACTTTTCCTCGTTAACTGCCTGTTCCATGGATGACAAAGCAACTTCTTTTGATACTTCCAATATTTTAGAATTAATTTTATCATAAGATTTCTGAGTTATGGGCTTGGGCAAGCACATCACAGAACAAAATGTCTGCAGACTTGAAAGTCCACCACCAATGCACCGCATTGCAAAAACAGATCTTCTGTTTACTTCTGGAATGTTCTTATTCACTCCTATCAGTTTGCAGCTTTTAAAAACATCCCTTTTCTGACATGCTTGACATGTTATTTCAAAAGAAGACAACAATCCACACTGGGATTTCTCAGTCATTTTCAAGGAAGCATGACAAATTCCACAAGCAGCTACATTATTGAAAAAACTTATCAAGGAAGCAACATCAATAAGGCGATAACCATCAAAAGTCTCTTTAGTTTCAGTTTCGATATCCTTGAAACTGGAACATGACATCGAAAGCTTTTTCTTAGAAGCACTTTTAAAATCCTCTTTTTCAATAAAAACATTGCAACTGCCCACATTTACACTTTGCCGAAATTGATTTCCACGAAATCTTCTCTTTTTTGGTCTCTGACCAGATCTACGAGGATTATTCATGATTATTTATAATAAATAAATCAAACCGAAACTAGATTTTTGACTAAAATGAAAGCTAATAGACGAATGTACAAATATTAATCTAAGATTAAAAAACGCATGCAATTCGAATATAAACAAATAAAATCTGCAAAGGGTTGGAGCAGAGTTGAGTTGTAGACACTTTAAATCTCAGATTATTATTAGAAACTATAAGATAAGCCCGAAATGAAGCAATTCGCGACCACGCCCACTAAAGCAATTGTTGGTGAGTGACTTGTCTTCTAACCCTTATAACTTTTGAACCAATTGAAAGATTTCGAAATGTAAGATATGAAAATGCGCAGAATAATGCAAGGAATAAAAAAAAATGATTCTTGAAAAATCGATTTTTTGAGAGTTTTAAGGGTCCTGACCCCCCTTAAAATCCACCGTCACCACTTACTGCATAGGAAGTCTTCGGCTGGCTGAATTCGAACTCCCGTTCTCACGAACTGGGGCCGAGCTCCCTACCAACCAAGCTATCCCCACCCTTGAGTAATCCTTTTTAATCCTTTTTTTTTCTCTAGAAATGACGTTTAAAATCAACCATCCTCAAACGGTTTATTTTTGCTAAAAATCTTTTCACTTGTCGGTATCACAACTTTCAGCAGTAAGTAGAATAAAAGACAGAAATGTTAAAAACGGAGATGATAATAATCTGATAGAGGTTACATCATACTAGAGAAATAAAAATACATTTAAAAGATAAAAAGACAGAATATTAAAAAATTAGAAAATTAATGATTTCCAAAAATGATATAGTTTTATTTTATTTTATTATTGTGATATAGTTTTTATTTTTTATGTTATTAACTCTCCCAAAAATCCAGGTTAACACACAAAATACAATTATGGATTAATTAAAATCTTTTTGCCAAAGATTTCTCGGTATGGGAAGCATTGTAAATGTCTGAAAGTTTATTCATGAAAGAGTCTGCATTACTTCATCCTTTGCTGTGACAAAAACTAGAACGGAAATTTTAGTCCTGATTCTGTAAAATGGTCTGCTGAAGCCGCTTGTGGCGCTATTCCAATTTTCATAATCTCCGACATTTGGAATGTTATTTCACTAAGCTTTCAACGAAGCTTACAATTGTATAACCACCAATATATTTGACTATTTATTTTTATCTGCTTATACTATTTTATGTAGTGATAGACGAAGTACTTTTAATACTTATTTGTAAAGATATCAATACTTTACATTTGCTACCACAAGAAAAAATGATTTCTTCTGGAATTACGGAAATTCCGTAGTTGTTGGAGGGTTTGTATTCATCGTAGACTACTAACATTCTAGTGATAGACAGAATGGTAGTCGGAATACAAATTTAATAGAAAAAAAGGCACTTTATCACTGTCTACATACATATCTTATGTTTAGATGCATCACCGTTGAAGAAGGTTGCTGTGAGTCGTATTCTGTCAATTTGGAAAAAACAATTAAACTTGACACTTAGCTGCATTTTGTTTGCAATTTAATTTTTCTAAATGTTGGTGAAGATAATAATTTTTCAGTCTTCGTTGTACCGGAATGAAAGTTTAGTCAAAAAAACAATTGTTTTGAATTGTGCCAAGAATTTATATATAGTCGCATTTAATTACAATTTAAATGAATGAGATTAAACGATTAAAAATAGTTTTTGACTACGATTACATGTTTAAATTATTTGGTGTTGCATATGAACTTTTAAATCATTTATGTGCAGTGGTGCGGAAATAAGTTTAAGTGGATAAAAATATAATATATTAAAACATTAACGTAGCTACCACTAGAAATTTTTTTTACAAAAAGCATTGAAAGTTAGCATACCTGTAAAACTAAGAGTTTTCGTATGGTAATAACTAATAACTTTAATCTCATTATTTGAAGAATTTTAAAAATTAAGTATGAGTTTTGCATAGTGTACTTAAAATGATGTAGTACATACATTAGTATAGTTCAGAGTATGACTCTTGTATATAACGTACTAGAAATTAAAATACTAAATAACAACTGTGCTAAGTTCCTAATCAAGGTGTTTAGAAATCCACTTTGAGGAATATTTCTCAGTTTTTAGTTAAAAGTACTGGCAACACTGGGTAGTTCTTACAAAAGACACCAACAATGCGTTAATAGTTAAAGTTTCAATAAATTAAAAAAAAATAATTATTTCAGCCTCACTTAGAGGTAATCAGAAATAAAAAGGAACTCTATGTATACCGGGCTGTTAACTTGTAACGCTTTTTTGGAAAAAAAGCTTCTTCTAGTGGTAGATAAGTTTATGTTTCAATGCATGATTCCTTGCTTTGTAAATTTGATTTAAATCCGTTTTCCACATCATCTCATGTAAATGGTTCAAAAGTTCATATGAAACACCATTTGTTCCAACTCTATAGTGGTAACTCTTTTCAAATATTTGCAAAAAGCAAAGTAGTTGGTAGCCCTGTGTATAAGTTTAAATTATCAATATGTAATGATAGGGAAAACCCTAATCCTTATAATTTATAACAAGCAAAAATATAATTTTAAAACAATAAACTTGAATTTTGTGCAACTGTAAGCGTTATCTGATAAAACGAAGCAAGTTTGCATCACCGTACTATATGATTCTGCCTTGCCTTTACTTATCTATGTTTAATTTATTTATATCTAGTGATGCTGAAATAACTTTTAAATGAATTTCTTAATTCAAGAGTTTGAAAAAGAAGTATCCCCACTCTATTAAAATAAAATGTTAACAAAAGTCCGATAAGTCTTGTAAGATACGTATAATTATCTATAAAGAATTTCAATAGAAAATAAAATATAGTACCGTATATATAGAAGAATCCTAAAATTTTTCAAGAATTCAGGAACTGAAAATTAAGGAATTTGTGAGCTTAAGCATATCTGGGGTGTAGGATTTAAATTCTAAAGAAAATCAAACTTAACCCTTTTACGGGCCCTTTATTTCTAGTAAAGGTAAATTAAAGTATTTTTGGAATTGAAATTGTTTTAAGAACAGTAATTGATATAAAAAAAAACTCATTTAGTTTATAAAAATGCCATTTTTTTGGTGGTAAATATATCTAACATGATCTATTAGGAACTTACTGTCTTTTATTTTTCTTTATTTATAAAATAAATTCCTTAAATGCTACAAACTTCAAAAGGAATTATGTATTTTACAACTTTTATACGATTTTTAAAAGTGACAAATGGTTACCAATTTTATTCAAACTCACTTCAAGAAAGCTGAAGTTATTGAAAAATGGAAACCTAAATTAAAAGTGGTAAAACGTGGTGGTAAGTATACTTACCACGGCCTTCAAAAGGGTTAATAGTTTACTAGAATTCATTAATAAGAATTTGAAAATATTTACTTCTTTCATGACATTTAAACATAAAACTTCCATTTTAGGGATATTGCTAGTGCCTTCCTTAGGATCGGGACTAGATTGGGAACAACAAGGAGAGGATCAGTGGCATTATGATCCAGTCATATCTTACAACGCTGGACCTACAAATAATAACCAAGGTTATTCACAGCAGAACCAGAACAATAGAGGAGCAAACTGGAATCCGGGAGATTCTCAGCAAAAAGATTCCGCAGCTTGGGATAGCGGTAGGAATCAACAACAAAACAGAGGATGGAATCAACAAGACACCCAGCTTAAGGATGACGGAAGATGGAACAATCAGCCAGATAACAGAAACTGGGGCCCATCAGACACGCAATTTAAAGATGACAGCGTATCAAATGCAGTTGGAAACCAGAGACCAGACCAAACGTGGACTCAAGGTGGTGATAGTCAAACAAAGGACACTGCTAATTGGGGCGCAAGGGGTGAAGACTCGAACAGAATGTTTAGACCTGAAGACACTCAGTTTAAAGATCCTGGCTCTTGGTCTAATGAAGGAAATGATATTTCTGGTAGAAATTGGAGAGAAAATGATGCTCAAAGAAAGGATTCATGGAATGCTGATGGAAGAGGTAATTGGAATCCTGATGATTCTCAAATAAAAGATTCGGGAAACGGAGGTGGTGATTGGAATAACAGAGACGAACAAGTAAAAGTAACTCCGGCATGGGATCAGGGGGTCAATCAGCAACTTCCAGGGGCAGTTACAGGTGCTGGATGGACACCTGATGATGGCAGTAATGCAATAACTGGAGATTCATTAGGACCATCAGGTGATTCCTACGTACCGCCAATAGATGATTCAATACAAGATAGTTTCCCGAATCAAGGACAGCCACCTCTCGATAATTCTAATCGACCGGATACTTCACCAGGTATTATTGAAAGCAATCTCAGAGGTGACAGTGGTGGGGATTATGGTCAAAATGTTCCAGAAAACACTGGGGGATTCGATGGATTTCCAGCAAATAATGGGAGAGTTCCTCAAGGCAATTACAAAGGGGGTGATGAAGGAAGGTATGCAGGTGATGACCCAAGTCAGTGGCGTTTAGAAGATTCTATACCCGGAACTCCTGGTGTCGATTATCCAAACTACAACACTATTCCGACTACAGGATTTGATTGCAAACAACATGAAAATCCTGGATATTATGGTGACGTTGAAGCGCAATGTCAAGTAAGTTAACTTTTGTAATTAAAAAATAACTATCTTGTTTTTTTTTCGTGGGGAAACTCGTTATAGTCAAAAATTATATTGTTAGGTATTACTTATTCACCAAAGTTTTTTTACTTATATAGTTACTTATAGTTGTACTTAATAGTTTTACTATAGTTATACTTTACAAAGTTATACTTATGTAGTTACTTATATTCATGAAATATTTAACTTTATTAATCATTTAAATTATATTTAATTTAATTACCGATCATTATTAACCCTTTTGGGACGGGCAAGTCATTAATGTATTCCTAAGGAATAAGTATCAGGATGGTAAAAAATAAAAAGCTGTAGCTTGAGTTTGGGCATAGCTAATTTGACAGATTTATTTTTGCTTTCACTTTAAATTTAACACATCCAAACCATGTGTGTTAAAAGTGTTACCATACAATTTTTAATTCGAAATAAGTAGTGGTGAATTAAATAAATCAAACAATTATAACCCCGTCCACATTTAAACTACGAACGGAATCACCAATGGCAGGGAAATAATACTTTGCTATCTTAAAGCTGGCAGCATAAAGCAAATTTTTAAATTGCAAGTCTGCACCTTAGTTATAGGGAAGGTAATCTAATGCAAAATTTCCCATTTAAAATTTTTGAATTACTATATGAATTTATATTTATTAAACAAAGTGGTACGTAACTTTGAATCTTCGAAGAATTTTTGTTTGATTAATTATGTGTCTGTGTGTTTTTTTTTCTTCTTTTTTTTTGCTGATTTATAGCACAAAGAGGATTCCAACCGATTTTTTGCGAGCATTGGGGTGGGTCGGAGTGTCTTAAAATTTGTAACGTTTGTGCGGAAAAATTGCCAAGTATCATTAGTAATAAGTATACAAAATTATACATCAATGCAGGCCTGCCAACTTTCTAAGCTTTTTGTAAAAAATTCTTCTAGTGGTAGCTAAGTTTATGCTTAAATGTGTTATTCTCTCTTTTATATATTTGAATGTAAAGTTATATTTCGCGCCACTACTTACAAATGATTCAAAAGCTTATATAAAAAGCAAATTTTCTAACCTTCACGTATTTTATGTTTTTACCTGTCTGTGTTATCCCTGTTTTGTGTGCTGTCCTTTCTATCTACGTTTTCCACAATATTATTTAACTACCTAACATATTATTTTACTAACCCAAATAATTTCAACATCAATGGCCTTTGATTCAGTTTGTAATCATATAATTTACGGAGGTGGCCTTTTTGGCCAGGTACTCCGGTGCACCTATTACTAGTTTCCGCAGTTTCCTTCACGTATTGAAACTTTTAAATTATTGCAAAATTACCAAATATTGTGTAAGATTCAGCAGAGATGCCAACTTGCTCCGGACAGCAAATAAATATTTTCGACTGGTAGTTTATTAATGTGTAATTCTTGGTTTAATAAATTCAACTTATTAGGTTTTTATCCACCAGTATTTCTAAATAATTCGAAAGCTTATATAATTCGCCATTTTGCGATCGTAGAGCTGCCAATTTGCTCCACTTTACAAAATAGTATTTTCTAGCGGTAACGAAATTTAAGTAATTTTTAGTTTAGTATTTTTAATTTTAACTATGTTTTCCAAAACTAAATATCAAAAATTATAAGAATCATATAACATGCAACCTGAAAGCATTAATTATTTGGTTACTGTTTTTTAAAATAGGCGTAACTATGTTAATTCGCTACCACTATATTAAAATTTTTCCAGAGAGCGGAGCAGTTGGCATCCCTGGATTCAGTTATATAATTGTCTACCACTTATATATGGCCATTTTATCGCTTGATAAAATAAAAACCAATTTGTATTACAAGAGATTTTAATATGATAATTATATACAGGCATGATTTGAAAATATACGTAGGTACTTATTTACAGACATAATTGGTGATACAATCAGTGGTGAAAGCCAGACGGAAAAGAGGAAAGGCTGGTAGTAAAACCATTTCAGTTATAGCTAGTTTTGGGGAGGAGTTTACTTATTCTTTTTTTAAATTTTTCAACAATATCTACTTTATCTTGGAAAAGTAGCAGTTTTATATATATGCCAGAATCATAAAAGAAATCTTGATAGTTACAGATATTTCATTTTTTTCGAAAAAATTGCTGGAATGTAAAGTTTCACGTACCAGGTTTTTCTCTTTTCCGTCATGCTATTTAAGGGCTTTCACCCATGGATACAATGCTTCGTAAGTAGAAGCCTTAATTCCTTAATATATTTCTTTAATAATATAAGTGGTAGTTTTGTTTTACATTTTGCAATTTTATATACAATATTTTTTATCATTATGTCATGCAAACAATTCAAACATGTAAGACATAATTTTCCCGGACTAGTAATTTTAGCACAATGTCACGTAAAAATGCGCTTTTGATCTGTCTCCTTTTCATACAAAAAGTTAAAAAGTAGTAGCAAAACCACCTCGTTTCCACTCTGTTTTTCAAAAAATTTATCCATTCGTGAATGCCACAAACATAAATGGTTCAGTATATTTGTAATCTGTGCTACAATCTTTTGTAGTAAATTTTTTTTCAAATCGAAGTTGTAGCTATAGTGACAAGTTTGCAACCACTTTTATGAAACTTTAATGGTATACTTTTAAAATTTTAATCTAGAACAGCAGTAATTCATTTTTTTTCTTTTTTTGGAATACATGCTTTTTTGAAATGTTAACAATATTACCAAAAATTCTGAAGGCTTTAGTTTTATAATTGTCTACCACTCTATTAAATATTTTATTAAAAGAGTATTAACCCTTTCGCGCCGACTGTCACAAATACGTGCCAGCATGAAACCGTATCAATCAGGGTAAAAATATAAAACTGGTAATCAAAGTATTTCTTCAGCAGTTTATTTGTGGGCGGAGTTATAATTGTTTAATTTACTTAATTCACCATTACTTTGTTCAAAATAAAACTATTTAGTTATACTTTGAATTAACATTGATTATATGTATGATTAAACTAACAGTAATTAAAGTAAAAGCAAAGTAAGTCTGTCAAATTAGCAACGAGTACATTTAAGTTACCGTTTTTTTATTTAATTACAACTTGATTCTGATTTTGTACGAATGCTTTTCTGAATCACCCGTCCCCAAGGGGTTAATTAGCAATCTTGATGCTGTTGCGCAATGATTCATGGGTTGAATAAAATAATTAAAACACTTCTACACTAACTAAGATGTACTTCTATATTGAGCATTTCTTTGCAGACAATCTTTCCTTTGAGAGCAAATGTGTTGGAAGATTTTGAATTGTTTGCAGAATTCGAATAAACACGATTGAAGCATTTAAAAGCGGTGTTCTTTTTACCCATACAAAACTTGAAGCTACCAAAATTGTTAAAGGTTCCCTTCCTTTTTTCAAAATTACTAAAATTCAATTCAATTCAAAATTGTTGGTGTTAAAGATGGAAAAAACTTAATAACAAAACTTTATTAGTCATTTTTATGAATCCTTTACTTGGGTAAAAGAAAATCGTCTCTAAATGCTTGGGGCATGATGATACCAATTGTGTATTTTGCCATGTAAATTTATCCAAAACATTCGTTACTGAAACAAATATCGCTTAAAATTAGTTTGTATAGAAATGTGTCCATCCATTACTTTGGTTTCCTGCATAAAATTTTACAAATGCCAATCTTTTGGCTATCATGCCATTTGATTACGAACTTTTCAATACTTTTTCACAGTTGTCCAGCATCACATAGATTACACTGAGGTGAGCCATCACCTCCTACATCAGAAGGCCTCCCCACAATACTTCGTATGTAGTCTGTGCTGACTATTTAAAAAGTGAACCAGTTGTGCAAATGAACCCATGTTCTCTATTTAAAAGTAATTGAGAGAAATTTATCAGATATATTTGAAATTGCCAAATATGAGTATGGACGAACAAGCCCAAGCTTCCTCTGTAACATGGCTTTTATTTAATTCTTGCCCCCATAAAGAGATCCAAAATACTTTTAACCCTAAGTAGACGTTGTCTCATCTGACTGGACATAAAATATCATTACTCTTAAGTTTAAAAGTGTTGTATCTTGATATTTTATTACGTTGTTCTATGATTGTTACATGAAAATACTATATTGTGTACTTTAAATGATCGTAATTTTAATATATTTATTACCGTCATTACATCTCTTTCAGATCTTTGAAGAGTTGAAGTACATCTTTAAAAAAAATTCTTCATAGTAATAATGCAAATCGATTGCCGTTTTTTTAAAAAAAAATTTTGTTAAATAAAAAGCCACATTACGTCACCAATAGCCCATGGTGTAGCTCTAGTGAGAGGTTATGTTTTGCATCTAAAAAATTCTCATTATTAAACCTCAATTTCAACCTCTTTTACACTTCAAAAAACATAATACTTTAATAGTCATAAAAGTTGTTTGAAAATCGAAATCACACTTTTCCTAGGTGAGCTTCAAATTATAAAAGTTATAAATCGGAAATTAAAAAGGTGAAAAGACATATTTGTAGAAATATATTGAGGGTATATATAGATAGGAAATATACAGGATTTGTATAAACATTTGCTTATGCACAAGGAGAAGATATAAAATCTAACTCTTTTTTGTAATACTATTTTCATATTCTATATCAGCATTAAATGAGATGAGCTTTAAAATAATTAAAACAATAGTCAAAAGAAGAGACAGAGAAGGAAGAAATCTTATACAAAAAATTATGAGCAATCATTCAAAAATTTAAAGAGTGTACATTCTCCGAAAATCGAAGGTTCAAATGATAATCCTTAATCATTTTATGAAACAAAAATTCGCAAGAATGAAATTTAACTTTACAAATAAAAAGATTAGCATAGTTAGATGAATTCCACACATACCTTTCAGAACTGCAGAAATAATTTCCAATTTGTAATATTTCAGGTATTTCATATTTGCCAAGCTGATGGCCGCCATGACGCCTTCCTTTGTCCATTGGGAACTATATTTAATCAGCAATATTTTGTCTGCGTTTGGTGGTTCAATTTCAATTGTGATGACACAGCCATGTATTATGGATTGAATGCTGATCTGTACAAGGGTGGTCATGGAGCTCAAGGAAACTTCAAAGGAGACTCATATCCCGGAGGAACGACATCAGGAGCGGGAGGTCCTTTTACGACACCAACACCAGTAGATATTTCTGACAATGGACCTGGTTATGTAGGACCAATAAACCGCAATGATTTGCCTGACCAAAATCTTCGACCAGTTGGTGATCGAGGTGTCATTGGAGTACCAGGAAGTGGGGATATTGGACAACCAAATCCAGATCTCGGGGGAAACTATGCACCAGACGAGGCTGTTGCTCCTATTCCAGGTTCAACTCCAGGTTTCCAAAGGCCTACCGAGAGACCCGTAATTAGCGTGCCTGGAACAGGACCTGGGACTGGCGTTACTTCACCACAAGGAGATTCCAATGCATACGGACCAAACACAGATGGAAAGATAAATCGAAATGAAGGTAAGAAAAACTGGGGTCCCGATCAAGGGTCTAAAAGGAACGATAACCGAAATGGAAATTGGAACAATAGGGGTGTTAAAGGTGGTGATTGGGGTGAAAGTAACAGCAATCAAAAAAGTCGATTGTGGAATGGTGCTGAAAACGAATTCGGAAGTAGTTTAGAGAAAAGATGGGGGTCTGATATCGATGATTCCGTGAGAGAAAGCTGGAATGACCAGCGAGAGTCTTCCGCCGTTCAAGAACCTGTTTGGCTGAATCGGGCGTACGTATCAGATGTTGATGAACCCGTATGGAATAATAATCAGCCGGAATATGATGATGTTTTGGGAGCGGGAACTGCTCTCGTCTCCAGAGAATCGCCACAATCAAGGGAGTGGAGATTAGAGAATGAAGTTTCCGATGTGTCTAAGGAAAAAACGACTTCTTCATTGGAGAGAGAGCTCGAGGATTTGAGTAAGGAAACTGACTTCAGCCGCAGAAAGAAGAAGACAGATAACACCAATACCAATGAAAAGAAGAAAGCTGCTTTGAAAAATAACACTAACAAGTGGTGGAGAGATGCAAAAATGTTTCTTGAAAAAACTGACAAGGTATCCCACAATTCATCTTATACGAAGCCCCGAGAGGAACCCATTTTAGACAGTACTGACTCTTCACTAGGTGATGTAAATGTATATTTTGACTTGAACCGTGACTATACATCTGATAAAAGTGCAAAACAAAGAATATGGACTCTCTTATGAACAAAGTTTTAGTATGCATATGCATAATTTGTGATGTAAATACGTATTTTATGTGAACATTGTGTTATTTTAATTATTATTTATTTTATTGTATGTAATGTATATATAATTTTATCATTCACTTATTTTAAAGTAAAAACCATCAAACTGCTTTTAAAATACACATTCGATTTGTAGTCATATTTTCCAACTAGCTTTTAACCCCTCTTAACCCGTTTAAAGCCTTATCATGAAACTCAATGGATATATGAATGATGTCTACATCAAAACGCGGTAGTAATACATAATCGCCTTTCAAAAGGATACTTTTTACCGTAGCTTACCATTTTAGCCTTAATACAAACACTGAGCTTTGAATTCAGCTAAACACAATAAGTATTTATGCTATTAATATATCATGGTAGTCAGAACTATCTTGTTTATGTGAAATAAATCTTAATAATGAAACACGTGTACTACCACATTCTTCATTTTTGAACAAATGGAACAGTCCATTTTATAGGACACTAGATACAAATTGATTAAAATAGAGTATTCTGCTTCCGTATTCACAAAACATAATATGTTTGGTAATTTAAAGGTCATAAATAGGTATCAAAGCATTATATATTCTAAATCAAGGATGAAGACAAATATAATTATTAGTAAAAATGCTTACATTTTTCAGTAGGTGTTTGAAAACAATATTTTATGATATGACGTTATGTTTTGTAATCTAAAGGAAATAAATACGTTTGAAAGCAACATATCAAGGATTACGACAAATATTATTTTTATTTATATAATAAAATGTTTACTTGTTTCAGTATATATTTAAAACAAGATTTTGAGATATAGTGTTATATTTTGCAATTAAAAGAAATAAAACAGTGTAAAAGCAATATATTTTGTATCAAGGAATATGATAAATGTAATTTATTAGTAAAAGTACATAATTCAGTAGATTTTTAAAACAATGTTTTAAGATATGATGCTATGTTTTGTAGCTTAAAGGAAATAAATATGCGTAAAAGTAATATATTTTGAATCAAGGATTGTGACAAATTTAATTTATTAGTAAAAACTACATAATTCAGTAGATGTTTTAAACAATGTTTTAAGTTACAGTGTTATGTTTTGTAATTTGAAATAAATAAATATAAATAAAAGCAATATATTTTGAATCAAGCATTATGACAAGTATAATTTATTATTAAAACTAAAGTCGATGTTTATTTAGTAGATGTTTAACCTTTTTAACTTTTATGAAAAGAGCTCTGACTCAAGCAGCCTAATATCGTACGGGCGTGATTTCAACGCGATTTTTTAACGTTAGCATAGTAGCTAATATTTACGTGTTCTGCATTAAAATTTAATTAGTGGTATTTTACTTTTAAGTGGCAGTAAAATTTATGTTTTTGCATTGATGCCAACAACTTCGGATGCGACATATGTTTTAAAACGGTAGAGAACTATAAACTAAATTTTGAAGATTTTCGGTTAGTTTTGCTCACTTCTCAAAATGTGCGATACGACACAATAATAACCGAGCGGCGTTTGAATTAAGCCTTTGAATTATTTAGAAGTAACGGTAAGTAAAAACCTCATAAACCAATAATATATATATATATACCTGCCAACTTTTAATCCTTTCGAAGATGAGTTTCCCCTGTGGTAGTAAAATGGAATTTGAATTACAATTGGCAGAAAGCATGCTCTGTATTTTTTAAAGGGCTTTTGCTGACGACTACACTATCAGAGATGCCAACTTGCTCCGGACAGTAAATATATATTTTAAAGTGGTAGTTTATCGATTGGGATTCTTGGTTTAATAAATTCAATTTAGTAGATTTTTATCCATCACCATTTCTAAATAATCCGTAGGCTTATATAATTCACCACTTTATAGGATTGATTTCATGTTATACCTTTTAAAAAGCAAGCAAATATTTACGCCGTTGGTATCCTTGCGCTATTACTTATTAATATATATGCTTAATTTCTTAAAAAATAGTGGTACTCAAAAAGTAATAAATTAAGTTTATAAATGCAATGAATATAGGCCTATGCCTATGTCAAGTCTTTACCTAAGTGTCGGCCCCGAAGGGGCCCTAACTCATTCGTCGCAGTGAATAAAATTTAAATGGTGAGCCTAAGCTCAAAAGCAGGGGAAAAGAATATAGGCATGGGTGAAAGCCCTTATATAGCAAGACGGAAAAGAGAAAAACCTGGTACGTAAAATATTTCATTCCAGCATTTTTTTCGAAAAAAATGAAGTATCTGTAACTATCAAGATTTCTTTAATAATTCTGGCATATATATGAAACTGCTTCTTTTCCAAGATAAAGTAGATATTGTTGAAAAATTTAAAAAAAGAACAAGTAAACTCCTCCCCAAAACTAGCTATAACTGAAATGGTTTTACTACCAGCCTTTCCTCTTTTCCGTCTCGCTTTCACCCCTGAATATAGGAAAGCATACATTTCACTACCACTTTAAATGTAGAAAAATAAAATTTCTAGCCAAATGCGTAAAAGTTGGCAGGTATATGATACTTTTGTAGTGACGTAATTTTAGCTAAAATTCAAAATATTTAAATTCCTTTTACTCCAATTGCCAGAAAGAACCACCCTAAAGATCACAATTCAAGACGAATGGGAAAAAGGCCCCAGGCGCCCAGATAAATATTGATGATGATGGCAGGTATATGAGCACAGAACAAACCAGTATAAGGTGAATAGGTTGGTGGCGCTACGCGCACATTACTGAGGCACCACTTTTGTCAGATATGTCATGATAAACCTTCTAAAAAAAATAACAAAATCCGTTTAATAATTGCAAATTTAGTTTGTAGTTATTTAACGTGGCCTAATGGGCAAGCCATGAAAAATTAGAGTGGCGTTCAACGTGTTAAGGCAGTTTTAATTTTGCCATCACTATAAAAAAATCATCATCGAATCGAATGTAAGTTTCCGGAAGTGTACTTGTCTTTCGGTATGTATAAATTCGGAGTCTGCGGGCCTAAAAAAGCGCTTTTTTTTCTTCCGTCTTGTATATATTAAATTAATATTTTAAGATAAACTATTATGTTTTATAAATTAAAGGGAATAAATCATTATAAAGCAATACAGGGTGTTCCAAAATTCTCCTTACAACTTCAAAAATTCATAACTTCGCAAATAAACAAGATATTTATATTCTGTCTTTTGCATGTATTACTGCAACTAATAAAGTTTTTTTTAGTACACTTCAACATGCGCACCATTGGTGGCCCTAAGCACTTCCAGTCTGTAATCAATTTCAAGCCAGGTGATGTAAAGATAATTTTAGAACACCCTGTATATTTCAAAACAAGAACTATGATAAACGTTACTGACTAGTGAAAATGCTTACGTGTTTCATTAAACATTTAAATCATTACAAGGAGGCTTCGCCCCCTGCTCGCTCGCGCTCGCCAACCCCCGGAATTGCTTTCGCAGTTCATTTCGGATTGCGAAGCAATTCGATGCTCGCTCATTGGATACGTTCTTAACGTCTAGCTTTTGTATACTTTTTTGAACACGGAAGTTCCGAAAACTTTTCACTGTAGAAAATTCTAAATTTGTGCATTTCAATATTAATTTGAAATTGCAAACAGTTCAAATATTTTTCTTAATCACACTATTCTAAATTTCAGTTGTTGAGAAAAGTAACTGTTGTAAGTTTTGTTTTAAAGTCTTTCCCACCAGAGGGCTAAAACCAAGTGTTGTAAAACAATATGAAATAGTACTGAACGCCGGATGTAAAGCATCGGCTTCGATGAAGATAATTTTGTGAGAATTTTTTTGATAATTCGGTGAGAATTCACCCGATTAGTCATATGATGCTCAGTACGTGCTCTTACCCGCCGAAGCCTATCAATTAAAACGTATTGGCGTTTTATATAAAATAGATTAGCCATATGATGCTCACTACGTGCTCTTGCTCGCCGAAGCCTATCAATTAAAAATGAAAACTGCTGCAAACGTGAGAAAAGAAATATCCTCGGTTTTCTTGATACATACGTACGTATTAGCGTTTTATATAATATAGAAGATAGATTTTAAGATTACGTGTTATACTATTATTAAGGTAAAGTGTTATGTTATTAGTGATAATATCTTCTAATCTAATGAACCGACGCCTTTATTTTTGTTGTATTCAGAAATTTGGTGAATTATCGCCCACCTTCAAAAGTTTGCAAAAGACAAATAAACGTAGAAAACAGGAAAATAAATAAAAATTACACTTCAATAGAAAAATAAATTATAAGACAGGCAAATAGCAGTTAAGGAAGAATGTCATATAAAATTAAAACTGATTGCATCTTGAAACTTGGAAGATTTTCTAATGATCGTTTTTGAACTCCTCGCCGTTTCCTCCAGCAATCGAACAGGCTTAGATACTATAGTATACTATTAGTATATCAGCCAACTTCAACTATTATTCGTTAAACTTCTATGATGCTCTTTTTTCCCCACTTATATTTATTTATAATAAAAATAAATAACATATTTTCTATAAATGAAATAATTATTAATAGCTAGATATATTTCACGTTTGCTTCCACTTTAAAAACTTTCTGTACCGTGGGAACCTTGAATAAAGTAACGTCGCATATGAACTTTTAAAACATCCATATGTTGTGGTGTGGAAAATAAATTTAAATGAATAAAAAAAAATTCATTAACACTTAAATTTAGCTTTTAACTGGCAGCCCTGTTCAATGAAGATTTTACTAATAAATATATAATTACTTATATAAAGGGCTAATTTTTTACATGACTTCAGTATTAAAATTTGCTTTCTATTGTGCGAAATGCAATCGGCATTATTTCTTTATTATTTTAAGTGACATAATTTAAATAAAATAAATATCGTAAAAATCTCAGATTTTTCACTAGAATTCTTTTTTAATGAAAATTTACTTCTTATGGGAACCTTTCCAATATTTATCTTCATTTCATATTTTAGGATTCAATTATTGTGAATTTCTAACTAAGAAAGTTTAAATTTAACGCATCAATAATATAAATGAAAGTAAGAATTTTTCATTGCTTTTTGTTAATTTACATACACTGAAGTTTAAAATTATATCAAAACTTCAGTTATCAAAGAATAAAATAAACTAGTGGGCTGTGCCCCCTGCTCGCTAACGCTCACCAACCCCCAAAAATTGCTACGCAATCTCATTTGGTTTGCTTCGCAAACCAAGCTCGCTTCGCTCGCTACTAACTTAGGTACATTGCAAATGCACAAAATTCTAAGAATTCAAAACAATCATTCAAATCCATATAACAACTTTTTTTTTAAAAAAAAATTACATCTTTTTAGTAAATACTAAGTCATTAAAATAAATTTGAATTCAAATAAATGACATGTAATTCGTTAAACCTATTAGAAATGTGCTATAGTATAAAATCTTAAGATAAAATTTCTAAAACTGATATCTCTTTAAAAAGGTTAAAATTTTGGCTATAATTAAGTCTATTAAAAATTTAAATAAGAGAAATTGCAATGGAAAAACCCTGCATAAACAAAACATTGAATTTCGGAAGAAATCTCGTTTGGTGAGAATGCTCTCTCTTGTCAAAAAATACAAAATAAACTGACCTCAAATAAAACTCCAAGGACTTCGAATCAAATAATTAAGGAAACTACTATCACGTTTAATATAAAAGGAAGATTTATTAACTAAACAATAAAATTACAGCATCGCAGTTCCAAAAAACAAATCTCACACTCACT